TTGAGAATAGCAAAGTTTACCGAACAAAGCAATTTTGGTGCAATTACAAATGTAATCGTCAGTCTATGCGTTTTGCACAACATTTGTTTAAATATAAAAGATTTGATGAAGAAATATGGTACATATTTTGAAGTACTAACAATACACACTATAGCCCCATTAATTACAGATACATTTTGACACTTCAATGTGAATTAACCAAATTCGTAGAAGCGATCCCTTTAGAAACCAAAGACGCCGTCAACGTTGCGGAAGCAATTGTAGAGAAATTCATACTGAAGTACGGTTGTTTTAGAAAAATGAAATCTGACAGGGGTGCAGAATTCACAAATGAACTTCTCAAAAACATTTGTTAATTGTTAAAGATAGAAAAAGTAACATCAACACCATTTCACCATGAGACATTAGGGACAGTTGAAAGAAACCACAGAGTTCTGAATGACTACTTAATGACCATGAAAGCAATAAACAATTGGATCAAAATTAATAATAAAATTAAAATTGGTTCAAGAAAAAGCAAAAAGAAAAATTAATAAATGCCAAACATTTAATGAAAGAAAAATAAAAAAACACGAGTAAAGCTGATTTTAGAATAAATGATATTGCATATATACATATATGTATGTCAAAAAAGGCAACAGAAAGAAATTAGATAACCCATATAAAGGCCCATATAAAGTTGTATCACAACAAGGTACAAACAGTACATTATTAATGAATGAAAAACTTGTTGAACTGCACAACAATAATAATTTAATAAAATACAGAAGTAGCAAAAAATAAATTTTGTAATAAAAATATCATATTAACCCATTGCCTGACAATGTTGCGAAAACGCAACAATTTTAACGCTATGTTTGGATATTTGTTAAAATTTATTTAAAAGGTTTTTGTGGATATAGTTATTTTTGTACAATAGGACTATGATTTACCTACAATATATACAATACAATGGAAGATTTTGCAGAGCCGTCTTTGTGTTATTTTAAATTTATTCGACTTTTGCTTATTTTTATGCCTGTGTTGTATAAATGGAGAAAATTTGTTTTAATTTTTTACCTAAATCTTAACTACAATAGTGTATTCTAGCGAATCTATATAAATTGTAAGCTATTTGGTGATATATGTACTAGTGCTGTTCATATTCGAATTTACGAAGTATTCGAAGACTTCGAATATTCGAATAGTAAACGAAGTCTTCGAAGTTGGAAAAAACTTCGAAGTTTTTGTGAATTTTTGTTCTCGATAAACCCGACAAACGTTGTTTTGCCTTATAAATTATTTCTAGTTTCTAGATAAATTCTAGTGTAGACAAAAAGTAACTTACTTATTATAAGTGTGTAAGTATGTGGTATATGCATGAAATAGGCATGGAGCGCTATGAACGAAAAGAAAAATAAAAATAACAAACGCCTAACAATATTATTTTTAAGTTATTATAGTTTATTTAAAGAGGTTTTCGAACAGAAGTGAAACAAAAACAAAAATTTATTTTTTAAATTATTTTAATTAATTGAATTTTTGGCTGACCATTCAGCTGTTTCGCGTATTGTCAAATACTCACCATCAGTGGTCTTGCAAATAATTCTCGTATTTAATTATTCGTAAATAATTATTTTTGAGACTGCAAGTACCAGGAATCGAACTCGGGTCCTGCCAAATGTGAAACTCAGAATCAGCGCATCTTAACCAACTGATCCAAAGCAGTACTTGACTTTTTTCTTCGCATATTTTTCTGGAGTTTTGCTACTATTACTATGAAAATTCTTATTAACAATTTTACTTGCTGTGTTTATATTAGAACGAAATCATAAACCAGCTGTAGAATAATTAAATTAATTAATTAAATATATTTTTTTTTATATTTTTAATTGTTAAATTTCAATACTATTCTTTTTGTAGAGGCATTATTTGTTGCATGATTCGTTCTTTCTTAGGTATAGAACCTAATCTAGGAACGTAATGCTGAGAAAGTCATGCTAATGTTACTCCAGTAGTCGCACGGGCGAGACCAATATTTTGTGAATATAAGTTGTAATTTAACGTCAAATTTTCCAGACGAAAGTGACTATTATATTTTAATAGAAACTTATTATATTTCATAAAGAGGTTTTTCGAACAGTAGTGGAATACAACAACAAAAATTTTATTTTTTATATTATTTTAATTAATTGAATTTATGGCTCACCATACAGCTGTTTCGAGTATTGCCAAATACCCATCTTCATTGGTCTTGGAAAGAATTCTATTTACTTATTCGTAAATAATTATTTTTGAAACTGCAAGTACCAGGAATCGAACTCGGGTCCTGCCAAATGTGAAGCTCAGAATCAGCGCACCTTAACCACCTTAGTGGTTAGCGCACCTTAGTTTATTTATTAAATTATTAATTTAAAATCAATAGATTTGTATGATACCAAGTTCCCTGGCAACAACTGTTGTATCTTCAAATTTAAATTGTCTTGGATTGACTGTAAATAATAATAATGATAATGGGCCAGTAACATTAACCAACAACAGTCGAAGATAAAAGCACTCAGTGTGTCTTGGATTAACTGTAAATAAGCGTTCGATTTAAATAAATTGAGACATGCATCAACTGGTGAAACTTGCTTGCGGGGCATCCATTTTTTTGTTTGAGCCCATGTGAAATAGCGTGGTACTTGTGAATAGAGTAATGTTCTTGCAAAGGCACCAAAATCATCCGTACTATTACACAATTCAAAAAATGCAGTGAGTGTAGATTTAGGTGGATTTGTACCACGATCAATCACTGTCTCGTTCGTGAAAAATACACGCTGACCATTTTCAAGATGGACGGCTAACTGAACAGCTGCTGGATCCCGTTCATGAATTAGAAAACCGAAGATACGCCAAGCAGCTTCATTGGAGCTGATGTACCGACCAATTTGGTAGAGCGTAATTTCACCGTTTTTGTTCATTGGAGGAGCATTTACATTAGTATTTTCTACTCTAAACACAGCCATATCACTGCCTTTATGGACATACTTATATATTTGATGCTCTTCACAGAACTGCAAAACTCAACATTAATATGAGCATTGTATGTCTTGCTTAGCAGAGGCGAATACGGCACCACCCGCCATTGTCCCCCATTATCGGGACATTTAAACTTCGAAGACTTCGAAGACTTCGTAAGCAAAAGGTGAAGTGAGAGCGCAAAATGCAAACAAACGTTGAGGGATGAAAGCATTTGCTTCGTTTGTACGGTTTTATGTTTTTTTTTTTGTATTCTATGCAGAAAATTAAAAACATGTTTTTTTTTTATTTTATTACATAAAATTTATTTTATTATTAATATTAAATAAAAAATTTACATTTTAAATAACTTATATTTATTATTTATATTTAAAAAATCATATTTGAGAAAATTTTTAATATAATATACATAAAAATTTGATGAAATTAATATATTGTGTTTGTTAATTTATTTGTAATGGAAATTTAAATTAATTTTCAAATCAAAACTTTTAAAATTAGTTATGAAAAAAAACAAATTACATTAAAAATTAATCATTAGACAGAAATGCTTTATTGTGATATACAAAAAGGTTTGCTTCCACATATACTGGGGCAAGACAACTGCTATGAGGAGTTACAATATTTCCAGCAGTTGAAAATACTCTTTCTGATGCTACAGATGTTGCAGGTATGCAGAGATATTTAATTATGCATTAATGAGCAAAACTCATTTTTTCATAACTAATTTTCAATGTTTTAATTTGTGATTTTTTTTTTAAAGGAAAATGAAAATTTTTATAAAATTTCCATTACTAATAAAATCCATCAATATCAATATTTTCATATTATTACGTATATATTTTATATTATATTAAAAATTTTGTCAAATATGATTTTTTAAATATAAATAATAAATATAAATAAGTTGTTTAAATATAAATTTTTTATTTGATATAAATAATATTTAATAATAACATATTTAATAATAATATATATTATAATACATATTTAATAATAAAATAAAATTTATGTAATAAAATAAAACAAAAAAACATGTTTTTAATTTTCTGCATAGAATACCAAAAAAAAAGAAAATATAAAACCGTACAAACGAAGCAAATGCTTTCATCCCTCAAATAATTTGTGTGATGCACGTTTGTTTGCATTTTGCGCTCTCACTTCACCTTTTGCTTACGAAGTCTTCAAAGTCTTCGAAGTTTTTCACTGCACTTAAACTTCGAAGACTTCGAGAACAAAAATTTACAAAAACTTCGAAGTTTTTTCCAACTTCGAAGACTTTGTTGAAATGCGAATATTCGAATAATCGAAGAACTTCGAATTTTTAAAAACTTCGAATAATGTGAACAGCACTAGTAT